GGTTGTTTTTTCTTCGTCGCTCTGTTACATCATATGCTTCGTTGATCTGATTGGTTTATTTGGCCCGTCTAACACCAACATAGCCAATCAGCTAATCAGTATTTTCGCCCCTTCCAAAAATTACTTCAAAGGAAGGTTTTGCTCCGCATATCCATCTGGCGGAGTCAGGTTAACACCACGCACCATCAGGCTGAAAGTCAGCCCAATCGAAAATTTCTCGCACGACTTTAAAAGTCGTACAGTGTTTTCCCCGACTTAATGACAAATATACTAAAGACACAGATCTCAAGATTCAAGAGCTCTGATGGGGACATATGGACCATTAAGATCTCTGAGGTTTGATAGAGCTTGATATAAACCCAACGAGCAAAAATTGGTTGAAAACATGACATGATTTATGTCCCAACAATGTCTACATTTGGTTGAAAAGTAAAAGGTAAAAAGCAGTAATTTTCACATCATCGTTGGGTTTGTAACGTCTTTTAAACGTCTATTATTGTACTTAAGTGGGATAAAATTAGATGGACCAAACAGCCTAATTTTCAACAACTATTTCTGGACTAAATCAAAGCTATGATAGACCAACCAGATTTAGCCTAAAAACCAAAATCTAAATGACGTCTGCTGTTTGGGGGGGAGAGGGCTTTATGTGTGTGTTTTGCATTCAATAGGAGCTTGTTTGGACATTAGACCGCAGCACGTTAAAACTAGCTCAATATTTAAAATGTTACTAATCACATTAATATAAAGATGAATCAACTGACAGGATTCAAGTAAGTCTAAATACTATCTAGGTAAAAGACTTCTGAAATCTTCTGAAAAGTGGAGCCGAGCTCCTGTGGTCTGACGTGTTGCTATGGTGCGTCCTGGTTGTCCATCATTGTGTCTGACTTGTCTTCAGCTGCCTAACTATGTTAAGGATCAGTTTTGTCTTAATTTGTTGGTGTAATACTTGGTTTGTTGGCTAGAACCTCCCATCTAGTCCCCTTACTGGGTCCTACTTGTCCATTTTTCCATGGTTGCATTAGAGTTATATAAGCCTAAGTTTATCTTGTTTCTTGCTCCTTATTCCCCTCAGGTCAAACCCAGTGCCCGGCGTACCCCACAGAGCTGGTCTTCGGTCTGGACATGTCAGATGGCGTTACCTTAGCTGACTTTGACGAACAGCGGAGGATCATGCTGTCCATGTTGAGGAACATCACCATCGCTGAGAGCAACTGCCCAACCGGCGCTCGCGTCTCTGTGGTTGCATACAGCAGATACACCAAACACCTGATCCGTTTCCAGGAGCACCGCAGTCGCAAACATCTAATTGAAGCAATAGAGAACCTCGCTAAGGAACGCACCTCAGAACAGCCGCACCTCGGAGCCGCCATGTTATACGTGGGGCGGAATGTCTTCAAACATGTCCGGGCAGGGCAGTTGATAAGGAAAGTGGCTGTGTTTTTCACTAGCGGAGAGTCGCAGCAACCCGATGAAATAGTTGCTGCTGTGATGGAGTACCGAGCGCTGAACATCATCTCTGCCGTCATCTCTGTGAGGAACAATCTGGAGATCAGTCGAGCATTGGAGGTGGGTTTGACTTCCAGAGACAGTTTATGATGTCTGCTCAGAATATTGGGATGATTGAGGTCTGTAGGAGAACTGACGGCAAATTTTTGATTTCAAAAGCATCTTCAAGTGCATGAGGAGCAGAGAGAAACCACAAAGACGGAATATCAGTCTTCAGAATTAGGATTAACAAACTTGGGAAAAGTTTTATATCCCGAATGGGAAGAGATTCAACGTTCAGATCGATCTTAGATACGAGCTTTTTATTTTCACAATCTGAAATAAAACAGAAGCTCTGTGAGGGAAAACAGCCCTGCTCTGAAGCTTCCTGGAAAGCATCTAATTCAAGTTGTGGTCTTGACTCTTGGCAAATTAATTAATTCAACCATGTCTTACACAGTGGAAGGCAGCCAGGGACCCAAAACCATTTTGATAGCATATTGGTCAGAAGTTATCCAGGTACTCAGGAGAATTTCCTAAATATAAAGCATAGGGCTAAATTTAAATTACTGGGATTCTAGGGGAATGGTGGCGACAGAGTGAATTAAGTTCCCCTCGCTGCGGCCTTAAGGTCTGCAGTACCTGTTGCCATGGTAACCCGAAATCCAATGGTGGACAGTTGCAGTAAAGACCTTTTATGACTCTGTTGTGGCATCAGCCATCTTCTGTGGATCTGTCTGTCGGAGCAGTAGCTTATCTGTAGCTGAGAGGAAGTGTCTGGATCAGCTGATCAGGAAGGCCAGCTGTGATTGGATGCCCTCTGGACTCCCCCCCCATGCATGAAGCTGGTGCTGAACTGGAGAGCTCCTTCAGTGACAGACTGCTGTGCCCTAAATGCTGATTTATGCTCATAAACTAGGTCGTCTGCGTGCGTCGCTGTTAATGCAGATCTGCCCCGCCCCTTCCGCAGACACTCTGCTGCACCTCTCCAAAATTGTAGGTGACCACAGACAGGAGGCCTCTGATTGGTCAAATCTACATCCTCTCTACACTATGCGTATTTCCTGTTTGGTTCCTTACCGGCTTGTTTTGTTTGTCTGACCGCCATTGTGGAAAACGACTGGTGAAGATAGAGCAGCTAGCAGAGCGAGGTGAGAACGCCGGGACCCTTTTTCCACCTGGATTCCCGCTCTTTTTGGCCCTCATGTCCCTCCGTTGTGGCACAAACTTGCCCTTCCCCACCGCCTCGGCCGTATCTAGACCCACAGCTAGTTCCTGATTGGCCCTCTGGCGTTGTAGTGTGGAATAATGTAGCGCAGACCACCCTTCAATACTGGGCAGAAATCAAAAACATCTGTGACACACTGCTGCAGGAGGATAACCTGTCCTTAAATCAGTGGTGGGCAATTCCAGTTGCTGGGGGCCGGTATCCTGCAACTTTTAGATCCATCCTTGCTCCCCACACCTGAATTAAATGTCTCGGTTACCTCCTTAGTATGCAGTCACTTCCTCCAG